CAAAATATCAATTAAATTCAGAAAAAAATTGAAAAATTAAACTGAAAATAAAATTGAAATACTTTATTGAAAAATTAAACTGAAAAAACTGAAATATTAAAAAAATAAAAAAAACTGAAAACTTTAAAGTATATCATACTTTATTGTTTAATGAATCAAATCAATGAAAATTAAATTTTAATTTTTCAGTTTAAGATTTCAATTTTTTAAAAGAAAAAATTAATGATAACATCCGACTATTTCAAGTGTATCATCCGACTATTTCAGTTTAAGAAAAAAATTAAAAGAAATACTTTAATGATAACAAACTATAAGAAAACTTAGAGTCGCTGGAAGATAATCGGATGGTTGATAGCGCTGCCTCGCTGGTGGCCTGGAAGTCGCGGTCGCGGAAGGAACGCCGGAACTGGAAGACGACTCGATTGTGTGCGGATTGCGTCGCAGGAGGCAGCCGAAGGAGCGTTTTGTTAAAAAATTTTAAAATTAATGAAATTTGGGTCGGGTTGGGTCGGGTCACTAGGTCAAATTCTGCGGATTTCTTTCTCCGACTAGGCGTGGCCTAGTCGCGGCTAAGCGTCTCCTAGCGCGCTTAGAAGCCTAGTCGGCCATAGGCGCTGGTCGCCCAGCATTTCTCCTTCTCCAAAACGACCGGACGACTAGTCGCCGACTAGTCGACGCCTAGGCAACGACTTGACAACCATGGTTATGAAACCCATTACTATACGGGTGGTTCTTACACTCGCCTTGACATCTCGTTGGTCCATTCGTCAACTTGACATAAATAATGCCTTTTTGAATGGCAGGTTATCTGAAGAGGTGTACATGGATCAACCTCCTGGTTATGTTCATCCGGACTTTCCGCATCACGTATGTCGCCTCTCCAAAGCCATTTATGGGCTCAAACAAGCCCCTCGGGCTTGGTATGAGTCCCCATCTTCCTTCTTAATGGCGACTGGATTTCATAAATCCAAAGCGGATCCCTCCCTATTTGTGTATGCTCGCGCGGGTACACTTGCCTATTTTCTTGTTTATGTGGATGATATCATTCTCACCGGGAACTCCGATGCTTTCTTGACGACGTTTGTGGCTGATCTTGCTCGTCAATTCTCTCTTAAGGATCTTGGCCCGCTTCATCATTTGTTGGGTGTTGAGGTCATTCCCACACCTACTGGTTTTTTTTTGTCACAGGCACAATACATTACTAATATCCTTGAAGGGGCAAATTTGGCGTCTGCAAAAGGCTCTCCCACGCCAATGGTTGCTAAACCACCACCGGTCAGCAAGGCTGGTTCCTTGGCAGCGGCAGACCCTGTTGCCTATTGAAGGATCATTGGCAGGCTTCAATATTTAGCTCTTACACGCCCTGATGTTTCCTTTGCCGTTAACCGTCTCTCTCAACATATGCATGCTCCCTCCATGTCTCACTGGGTGGCTCTTAAGCGGGTTCTTCGGTATCTCAAGTCTACTCTATTTCATGGCCTTCATCTTTCACGGCATGCACCCGTTCAACTTACTGTCTTTTCCGATGCAGATTGGGGTAATGTCACCGATGGGGGCCGGTCAACGACGGCCTATGCTCTCTACTTGGTTTCGAATATTATTTCATGGAAGTCAGCCCGTCAGAAAACTGTCTCTCGTTCCTCCACTGAAGCAGAATATCGGGCATTAGCACATGCTGTAGCTGAACTATTGTGGGTTCAGAACTTGCTCTTCGAGCTTCGGGTTAAATCTTCTGCTACCCCGCGTGTCTATTGTGATAATCAGAGTGCCCTGTATGTCTGTAAGAATCCTGTATTCCACTCCCGCATGAAGCATCTTGCGTTGGACTATTTTTTTGTTCGTGATCTAGTAGCGTGTGCTAAGTTAACGGTTCACCATGTTTCTTCCACGGAGCAGCCTGCAAATATTCTAACCAAACCGCTACCGCGCCCCTCATTCCAGAAACTCAGGTCCAAGATTGGGGTCTCTGACGGATCCCATCTTGCGGGGGCGTATCAAGGATAATTATTAACATCTTAATATTATTTACTTAGTCTTTGTATTTATCTTGTAGTTGGTTAGTTTTATGTCAAATGTACTCCACACGTAGGTAGCGTACGTTTCTCGATCACCTGCCTAACCTTTTGCTAACTACCTTATGTATATAATGCTGTGATGTGATCAATGGAAATCATCTTCTCCTAAAGTTTTCTATATGCAAGTCATACATTATTTGCTTCATTTTTAGGGAGGTTCAATCTTTCATTTGTCTTGGTATTTCATCTCCAAATAGAGCATAAATGATACAATCATTGCCATGAGATACACATTACAGGCGTGAGAAGCTGTTGTAATGCTTTCAGTTCATCTGCTGGTATCGGATTAATAAAGCTGGAATCCAGTAAAAGTTTTTTTTTTCTTTTTCGTCAAATGGTATTTTAAAAGTTGTACGCATTGCTTCAAGCTACTCAAGCTTACCTCGGTTTTGAATTTTATTAACCAGCTGAAATGTGATTTTGGTTAGGTATTATGGCATTTGATCCTTAATTTATTTCTCTTTTAAAGATAGAATGAAATGTTTTTCTCTAAAATTAAATAAATCTGTTTGCTTTCAGTTAATGACTTCTCAAATTTTCATCCAAATATATTTACAATAATATTGCTCAAATGTACAACCAAAAGGTTTGTTATATGTGGACATTTTTGTTTTTCATTGTTATGATTTGGCATATAAGTGCAAGTATTCCCCAACGTTTTATTTGACACCACTTCAATTACAAATTCAATTTTGATTTTACTTACCATTTTGGATGTAAATTCTATTGTATGCCTTTTTCGGGCGATTCTTCATCATTCTTATCAAGTTGCGGTCACGGTGTATGGTGTCCTTTGTGCAAATAGGTTCACACCTGATCGAGCTCTTAATTAACCAACACATTTTTTGCATCTTGATTTCTTTTTCTTTGTTATGAATTTCAGATTCAAGAAGGGTGAAAGCTTTGGCTCGAGCAGACGACATGAAACAAAGAAGCCCGAAGTGTGACAACAACATGAAGCTGAGAAGAAGCCTGTAGTTGCCACATAAATCAACCTCAAAGGAAACCCTCCCAATTTCTCATTTATGTTTTGACTATATCTATTTACTTATAAAATTCCCGAAATCGTTTACATTGCATATATATATATATATATATATATATATATATATATATATATATATATATATATATATATATATATATATATATATATATATATATATATATATATG